TAAAAAAGATAAATGAATGCAAAATATATACATAAATACCGGTCGATATAAATATATATAATGTAAGAAACGATCGCTGAAAAAAATGTATGTATATAAATATATAACAAAAATAAAAAACATATATATATATAAATATATAAATAGCGGTCGCTGAAAAAAGTGAAAAAACGGTCACTGAAAAATGTGAAAAAAAGTTGGAACACAAAAAAAACATACGTACATACATAAAAAATTTTAAACGCACGAAAATTGGCTCAGTGAAATAAATATATAAAGAAAAAAGTCAACACATGGAAAAAGTGGAAAAAAAAACAAATATTATATATACACATAAGCACATATATACATAAATACAAAAAAATTTAAATTAAAAATTAAAATAAAAAAGATAAATGAAAGCAAAAAATATATATAAATACTGGTCAAAATAAATATATATACATATATACATACAAACCTGTACTCAGAAGCGCTGAGACAGTCCTGTCCCACATTATTACGCCACCCAAAAATGAAGTACGCTCCAAATTAATTGGGACAGAGCATACATTTCAAAAAAAAAAATTAATAACAAAATTTAGATAAATAATCTTAAATTTAATTATATTATAACAAAATAGGATTACAAATAAAATAACATTAAAAATTATACAATATTATAAATAAAATAATATATAAAAAAAAGTCTCAAGCAAAAGATGAAATCTCACAATTACACAGAAGATTCCTTTATGAACTCTCAACAATGGAGAAATACTGCGAGAAGTGGTGGAGCGACTGTAGTACTCTTCAAACGGCGGTAACAGTCAGGCATTACAATATGCTCCAACGATAGCAACGATTATACCTCCACAGCTAACCCAATTTTTGCCACCATTCAAGATCACATATCTTGATATCAAACGATACGCCTCACTACCTTTAGCAGATCCTAGCTGCTTCGCTCCAGCAAAAATCGACATGGTAGTTGGTAGTGATATCCTACCAAAAATACTAGTCCCAGGCCTTAGAAACGACATCGGTGGAAGCCTCATAGCCCAGAATACCATTTTTGGATGGATTTAAGCGGTCCTGTAGCACAATCGATTACTTCATTCAGTACTCAAGTAATCGAGACCATGGCCGACCCACTAGGTGATCTGCAAAAGAAATTCTGGGAACAGGAAGAAGTGCCAGAAGCCCAGACACAGACGAATGAAGACACTATCTGCGAGGACCTCTATCGGAATACCACTTACCTGAGAAATGATGGTCGATATGTGGTAAAACTCCCCTTCAAACCTGAATTTCCCAACTCGATGGCTTTAGGTCACTCAAGACTCTCAGCTCAGCAGCAATACATCAGCATCGAACGAAACCTGGAGAAAAAGCCGGATCTCCAAAAAATCTATGCATAGGTCCTAGAAGAATACCAAACACTCGATCATATGGAGCGAACGAATGCCCAAGAAATTATACGGGACGGCAAATACTTCTCATTCTATCTGCCACATCACGCAGTAGTAAAACCCGATAGCAAAACCACTAAAGTCCGAGTGGTATTCAATGCGTCTAAACTCTCTCACTCAGGTCTCTCCCTAAACGACGTACTGCATACAGGCCCCATACTGCAAAACGATCTTATGCTCGTAATAATCAGGTGGCGGTTATATAAGTATGTTTTTAACGGCGACATTGAAAAATTGTATCGCCAGATATATGACCAAAAGGAAGATCAAGACTTCCAACGGATTCTCTTTCGCGAATCCCCAACTAGCCCAGTAGAAGACTAAAAATTGAAAACAATAACGTTTAGTGTGAACTGTGCACCATACTTAGCCATAAGAACACTCCATCAGCTGGCTGAAGACTCCAAACCAAAATTCCAAAAGTCGCAAAAATTTTAGTCAACGAAACTTATGTTGACGATATACTCTCCGGCGGACACGATCTGAACTCAACAAAAACATCAATGTCTCAAACAATCGAAGTGCTCAAATCCGTCGGATTCCCGCTCAGGAAAATCATAGCAAATCACAGATCACTGTTAAAGGTAATACCCGAAACCCATCTCCTAGACTCAGATTTTCTGCAATTTCATGATAAGAGCACTACAAAAAACTCTCGGAACTAGATGGAATATATTGACAGATACATTCTCATATTCCATTGAAGCCCTTCCTGACACAAATACTGCCACAATAAGCCAAATATTGTCAGCAGTCGCGAAGCTTTTTGACCCGGTATGATAGCTATCGCCTATAATGATAACTGCTTCAACGGCTCTGGATGGAAGGAACAGACTGGGACGAAACAGTCAAGCCACCCTTGCTTCGAAAATGGAACTCGTTTCGGAATAATCTCGTGGCTATCACCGAAATAAGGATTCCACGTTGGGTAGAATTCTACCCGGAAGGCGTTATCCAAATACACGGATTTTCTGACGCCTCCGAAAAGGCGTACTGCGCGTGCGTGTATCTACGCGCTCAGCACAACGGATCGACGACATCCCACTTACTCGTTGCTAAAAGCAATGTTGCTCCCCTTAAAACGGATTCACTGCCGAGACTGGAACTCTGTGGGCAGTACTTCTCACAAAGTTAGTAAAGCAGATCCAAACTCAACTCGGTCTGCCACCTCACGAGCTAACTTTATGGAGGGATTCCTCCGTCGTAAAAGCTTGGTTGGAAAAACCTCCATGGACATGGAAAACATATGTGTCCAATAGAATCTCTGAGATTTCACAAAACGTGAATAACGCTATTTGACGACACGTCCCCATCTCCCACAATTCAGCTGATTTAGGTACGCGTGGTATCAAACCTCAGGAGCTTGTCAACTCCCCTCTATGGTGGTCCGGTCCAGAATGGTTAACTAAACCATCAGAATTCTGGCTAAAAACTGCCACCACGCACTCCTCTCCACCAGAACAGCGACAAGCAGATAAACATCACGCAGCAGAAAACGCTGATCTGTTGGAACGCTTCTCAGCCTATACAAGGGCACTCAGGTTACATGCTGCGATTCGTAAACAAGGCGTTACTTGTTGCCGAAAAGCAATTGATGATTCGTATGATCCAACAAGAATACTATATCCCCCGTTTGAAGCACATAATATAAACCTGCATTTTTCATTGTAAACCTTGCACCCTATATAAACAAAACACGAAGTTACAATGATGGCAGCACTACCCCCCGAGCGCACAACCTACTCACTTCCATTTCAAACCACAGGCGTTGACTTCGCTCGACCCTTCCTGGTAAAAACGTCAACCCTACGAACAGCATCATACTCCAAGGCTTATTTTTCTGTTTTTGTATGTTTTGTCACCAAGGCAATACACCTTGAACTCTGCTCAGATTTAGGTACAGAAGCGTTCAAAGCCGCATTTGCTCGTTTCGTCGGCAGACGCGGTACACCATGCAAAATGATGTCAGACAATGGACGAACATTTATTAGAGCAAAGCGTAGTCTCAATAAGGAGCTCATCGCATTTCTCGGAGAGATATCTGAAGACATTTGCAAGAAATATTCCGTCCATGGCCTCACCTGGCAATTTATTCCGCCATATGCACCCCACATGGGACGACTCTAGGAAGCAGCAGTGAAGAGTTTCAAAATCCATTTCACGAAAACCGCTACCACCAGCGCAGCACATTTCCCTCGAAACATATACTCTCCCCTCGCTCAAATTGATACGAGTCCCTCTACACAACCATCTCAAACTAACGTTTTTCGACCATTTACAATAATTGCAGAATACTCGACATCTGCAAGTGCCGCTTATGCTACCGCCCACATTCCCTACGATACTTTCGTGGTTTCCTGGCGATGACGCTCGCCGAGAGGTACGAGTCCGCGAAAGCACATCGCTATTGCATAAATTGTCTAGCGACTTCACACACCACCGAAGCATGCGACTCCTTAGACAGTTGTCGTGGATGCGGACTAGCACATCACACGCTGCTTCACCGACCCTTGCGCGAGCTCGCCGAGCGCGCACCTCATCACAGCCGAAGGCAAGTCAGGTTCAAGTTGTCCAAAGAACCACGGGAGAACCATCAAAAGCGCACCACTGAACCGGAATCGAAGCGCAAGGTAATGCGAAGCGCATCCAACGAGAGAACTCGGCGAAACAGCAAATCACCTGCCCTCCAGCAATGAATCCGTGAGTTGGTAAATAAAGCCCGAAAAACTCTGCAACAGCTCGAAGACTTAGTTCAGGTCATGTCGCCGCAGGCCTTTATCCACTGGAATACGTACCTTAATTTCAAATTCCTGTAAAGCAAAGAAAATTGAAGGAAAAACGGAAAACGAAATTTCCCTCCTATCCCGTTAATGTAAAACTGGGCTAAGTATTTTGTTATAAAAAAAAAACTTACAGTATTTTTAAATCAATCGCTTGCTTAACCTCAATACAGTACGTTTGTACATAAGTGCATTATTCGAAATAAAATCAGTGTAAATATAATATAAAAGAAACCGCGCTTTTTAATTCAATAAAGTACAATGAATATTTCTTTTTTTTACTTAATTAACGTCGGAAGTTGAATAACCACAAAAAAAACTGAATGAAAACATTATCTTCCAAGTTGAAAGAGTCATTTTTGTCTACTTACACTTTTTTTCATCATCAATGAATTCCAGGCCTACAATATGCCTACTCATATAGTTTTTTTTATTTTTTCTTAAACTAACAACACAAAATCAAACAGTAGATTTTTTGTGACCTCCTGCTTCGCTGGAGTGAGAGTGAACTTAGGATACCAAATAGTGGCAAAATTTACTTACTTTTGCTTATTTTAATGGTAAATTTTAATACCCAGGTAAATTTTTACACCTGTAGTTTTTTATGCAAATTGATGTCCATATTGCGTAGTAAATAAATGTTGGTAAAATTTTTGCATCTAAGAAATTTTACAACAAAGTTGATGATCGACTTCGAAGAATTTGGGAAATCATCGAGGCGTATATAGCGCAAAACTTCAAAATATATTGCTTGACTTCACAATTAATTTTTTTTTTTGAAATGTTTATCTACACATCAGTTATTGCTTGTGTAGACGTGGAGTTACAATATTACCAAAGGAATTACCTCAGTGGATACAATAGTTTGAGGCAGGAATGCATTTAATCGTTGCCAATATTTTTTTGGGAATGTGCATTGTCTGAACTTATATTATTGGTGGAAATCCTTGACATTATTGATAGTGTAGCGAACGTAATTTATTTTAAAGTCAAGCGTCGTAAGTTGCTTGTAAATAAAACAAAATCGAGTGAGATAAGAGAAAGATGAAAATGTGTATGTGGCTAAAATATTGAAGGAAGAGAACTCAACGATACACGTAAAATTTTGATGGCGATCACACTGTAAACGTAAATAAATATAAGGATAAAAAAGTATTCAAACATTTTAAAATGATACAGTAAGCGGATTTAGGAGAACTTTTTACATACTTCTTAAATTGTCTGGTTATTTCGAACTTGCTTTAAACTTGCAAATCAAATAAGTAATTTATTTTCAATTTAAGGAGAGAATAACAATTCAGCGGTAGTTTAATATATATTTTTTAATGAATGTTTCTTTATATCGTTATTTTAGAATTTTGCCAATGGATTGTCGGGCTATGTTAGGTCTACATTTTCGGTCGACTTGTGTTGAACTGCAATGTAATAACAAAAAAAAATATAACAACAAAGAAGTACGAAGAAAAGGCGCAGGAAATCCTGTCATTACCACATTTTATATAAATAATATAGGAAAGGGTTTTGCTCATAAGAAACTGGAGGCACGGACATATCTCCGTAATTATAAATTGAGAAAACTGCAACCAGCAATATATTCAGTTTCCAGTGTTGAATCAATAAATTCGACAAATATATGCGATACAAATTTAGCCTGTGGTTCTTCCAAATCGAAGCTGTATTCTTCCAGTGTGACTATATCCGCTAGGAACTTACCTCTGATTAAAAGTTCTTTGCCCTCATATTTAATAACATCAACAACGTCACCAATTAATATGGCAAGTTCCGGTAATAAAATGCAAATTATAAAAATAATTGAAACTATGAAAAAAGTATTGCTAATGCATATCTTCACAAAAATAACTATGACTGGAAAACATCATATAATAAATTCCTCAAAATTCGCTCTAAATTGTATAGCAATGATAATTCGCAAAGTTTTATTTGCACTCGTTCTTCTATTTTGTGTGTTTCACTTCGGAGTTGTTTTGGCTGATCAAGGTACATACATTTTTTTTAAGATATTAATAACAATTGGTTTAAAAGGATGTATTTTTAAAGTCATTTTGTTGGATACAACAAGGGAAGCAACACTAGAGTGGACCCGTTATCCATATGGGCCACAAGCTCAAACGCCAGGGGTATGTGATTGTTTAATTTTTATTATTATTATGTTCTTTTTTTTGATATTTTGTTGCCTATATTTTTTGATACTTTTTGTAGTGGGTTGAGGAATCTTTCACTGATTTTGTAAAAGGGATTAATTGGAGAAGCTATGTTGTTTGTGATGTAGCATATAACAATGTAAATAATTGGTTATGGTCACCTTTTATTGATCGTGGTCCAGCGAACCGTCTCTACATTGAAATTCAGTTTACTATTCGCGATTGCTCGTTATTTCCCGGTAAGAGGACATAATAAATTTAAGAGTATGCAAATTAATATTCTATTTTGTTAGGTAATGCACTATCGTGCAAAGAAACTTTTAGCCTTCTGTTCTATGAATTTGATGCTGCAACCCGTGAACCACCTCCATGGCAGACTGATAGCTATAAATTAATAGGCAAGTGTGTGGAACTTAATGACTCTCATACTAAAATTTATTTGCTTTATTTTAGCTCGAATTGCTGCAGGGGAAGGTCGCTTTAATCAAAATTCCGACGTCGATATAAATACCGAAGTAAAGAGTATTGCCGTTACAAAAAAAGGTGTTTACTTTGCATTTCGTGATCAAGGGGCTTGTATTAGTGTTTTAGCTGTGAAAGTTTACTATATAACTTGCCCTGCGGTTACAGAAAATTTTGCGCATTTTAATGAAACACCAACAGGGAGAGAAATAACAATAATTGAAAAACAAAATGGCACTTGCGTAGAAAATGCAGAACCTTACGAAACACCAACATATCTATGCAAAGGAGATGGGAAATGGACTATCTTAACTGGAGGTTGCCACTGCAAAGTTGGATATGAGCCTGATCTTATTAACAAAACTTGCAATGGTAATATTTTATTTAAGAGATAATTACTTAAATAAAAGGGTTTAATGTTTCTAGAATGTCAAATGGGAAAGTTTCGTTCCAAAGAAGTTAACAAATGTGTGCCATGCCCTCCTAACTCCAATTCATCTAAAGTCGCAGCTGGGTTCTGCAAATGCCTTCACGGTTTTTATAGGCATCCTCACGATGGACAACATATGCCTTGTTATAAGCCGCCTGGACCTCCAACAAATCTAACGTTGCTATTTGTTGACCAAACAAGTGCAATTCTCTCTTGGAATGCACCCGCAAAAGATTTTTCAATATTGTCACATTTAAAAATTAATGAATATCATAACGATATTTTATATAAAGTACGCTGTCTTTCTTGCTTATCGAATGTTGTATTTAATCCAGCAACCGACACATTTAACGAAACAAAATTGACTTTAACGAACTTAGAACCTGTTACAACATACACAATTCAAATACATTCTTTAAATGGAGTATCGTATATATTGGATTCCAACAATAAAATTAATGCTACATTTCCCGACCAAAACAGTGCCGTAAATGTAGCAGTTGTCGATAAACATTCAGAAAGTTCACATAGTATCAATAATGTGAAGTCGTCAGTAAGATTAGTTAACAACCAACCCTTCGATTTGACCCAAATTAAGACTGATTATGCAGAAATTGTATTCACTACGGAATCTGCTATTCTGTCTACTGTATTTAATGTTCGAGTGGTTGCGACTACCAGTAAGGAAGTGGATTTGGAATGGGACAAACCTGTGTCAAGCGATTCTCCTATTGAGTTTTATGAAGTGCGTTGGTTTCCTAAACCTGAGTTGGACACATTAAACAAAACGGCGCTAAATACAAAGAAAACTAAAGCACACATAAACGGCTTAAATGAAAACACCGAATATGGGTTTCAAGTTCGTTGCAAAACTCTAAACGGGTACGGAACTTACAGTAACATAGTTTATGCCCAAACACATCAAGGAGTGCGTTCTGGTAAATAACCAATATTTATTTGGGATAAGTTCCTTTTTTTAAGATATAACAATACTTTTTAGGTTACGACGATTCATTACATATGCGCATTGTTGCAGGTGCAACTGTTGCTGTAGTTTTTCTATTGGTATTAGTCATTGTTGCAACAGTTTTGTTTTTGCGTTCAAAACATCAAGACGATATGGATAAAAAGTCCAGCAATCATTTACCTCTTCCTCTAGATTATGCTAGCAATGAAGGTAAATATAAAAAATTCTAATCATTCGTATAATTTTGGGATATTCGTTTGTTTTGATAATTATACTAGAAATTCGAAATTATTAGGTGCAAAAAACTCTGAAACGCAGTTTTAAGCGTTACTTACATATTAATATGCAATTTTTGTATATTGGAGGGCTTTATAAATTCAACTGGGGCTATAGAGGAGTTCATACACATCACAGAAATATATGTCATTTCCCGAGGAATTTGTTGTTAAAGTTAATATTTTGGCCAATCGAAATTCCCAAATAAAAGCTAATATAATCACACGGAACATTTAATGTCCAATAACGTTTAAAACAATTTTATTTAATTAATTTATTGATAATATTAATATTTTCCATAATTTTTACACATGTATAACGAATACACAATCCAATTTATAATTGATAAGTCATTTACATAAAACCAGAATACACCCTGCAGGCAAGTAGCTATTGGCTAACGTGTTATCAGTCTGTTTCTTTACAACGTTCATTTGTTATTTGAATTGTTACTTTTTTACGGATTTAAAAAAAAACTTCCCTAAACCGGACCAACATCGATTTCGCATTGTACAGTGTTCTTAAGTAAGACGCCTTTGTAAGTTAGCGGTCTTCCGGATTAAAAAAATAACCCTGAGTAGGACCAACACCGGCTTTGCCGTGCAGAATATTTTGTAAAACACCTTTGTAAGTTGGAATGGGTTATATATATGTCCATTAGAACCAGAAATACTATGCTTCCTCACCTTTGAAGAGTATAATATGATATATAATATATATAATATGATATATAATATAATAATTAATATGCTTACTCTTCAAAGGTGAGGAAGCACAGTTTTTCTGGTTCTAACGGACTTGAAAACTTCATTTTATTTACTTAAGTAAGCAAACGTGAGAACGCATTTTTTACTTGTAAAAATGTTGAAAAATATATATATGTTTTGCTAAAACTAATTAAATAAAATCTTTTTAAATGTTATTAGGCATTATTATAAGCGAAATTTAAGTGTTCCGTCTAATTATATTAGCTTTTGGGAATTTCGGTTGGGCAAAATTTAACTTCAACGATAAATTACTTGAAAACTCTAAGTTACCTCGGGGAACGACATATATTTTTGTGATGAGTATGACCTTCTCTAGCCCCTTAAAAAGGAAATTTTTTTCAAAGCCTGACACACCCTGACGAAGCCGACCCCAGAAAGGTAAAACTGAAAACATTCAAATGTTTATGCGTCTAATATATCACGGAATAAAGAAAGATTATGTAAGTAACCTTAAAACCTGAGATCATATTTCTTGGTGAAAATGCAATGCAATCTACAGTTCTTTGACGGAAGTCTATCATATCCAAGTTTGTCCTATTGAATACCAAGATATCCAATTTCGTTAGCTTGCGGTTGTTGAGCTTAACAAATTGGAACGTTTGTTTCATTAATGTAGAAGTGATTGCACTTATTTGCATTACCTTTCATGCCCCGATTCTAAGAAATTCTTTTTTGTTATACTTTTGCGGCTGTTATGACAAAGGTTATGTATTTATTTTTGAAGTGAAACTTTATTAGCGACGTTGAGAGTGATTTGAGAACTGTGTCCGTACAAGAGAGAGAAAATATATAGTTTCCCTCTCCGTTGTTGTTGTTGTAACCGCAAAATTACTTTTTGGGGAATATTGCGGGAGTTACAGTCCTTGGCCGGATAAAAATCCGGGTCTTTCCGGTACAAAGACCTGACTGTCGCGGGAACCATTAGATTTTAGTGGGTTCTTACGACAGGCGTGCCTTACCGCGGGTAAATTCTTGAACCCCTAACCCGCAGGGGGTAGTTTCTTTTTCAATACAGCCGGTTCTACGCCACGGAGTTGACCCGGATTTTATCCTGCCAAGAGCTGTCACCCTTTCGGCGTCCTATCCCTGTTTAGGTCAACATGTAACATTAATTTAAGTGGGCCAACGAACGGACACTTCTCAGATGGGCTGCTCCGGATCACGACTGACGTCGAAACTAACTCCCACCAATCCCCATCCCTTCCCACAATACCCACAGCCAACTCCTTTTCATCCTCCCGTGTGAGGGCTACTTATCAGCTCCTTGTCCTCTGAGAAAACTGTTCCGTGTGTCAGACCATAGTACGTCGGAGCACGAGCTCAATCAGATGAAACTCTTGTTCTGGCTGGTGTCATATTCGGACGTGCTCTGGTCTGCGCATTCCCCGTGAGTGGAGTGATGTGTACTTTGGCCCATGTTGTAGTAGTCTGCCCTCGTCTGTATCTACAACACCACCGCCAACCAACACCAACGTGCGGCACCAAAATCAGCGGGTAATACAGCAAGAACACACTACATCCGCACGTCAAACTTCTCGCTCCCCGCATCACGAACGTCCCCCCGAAACACACACATCTGTTACAATATATTTGCAACGGACTCCAAGGAAAGATCAACGAGGTAGTCGAATATATGGGCCGGTAGCACCTGTCAATTGCTGCGATTCAGGAATCGAAGTTGACCGCCCGCTCAGATCTTCTGAGCTGGGCCGAATACAACAAAATACACAAGGATCGCACGCGAGACCATGGCGGGGGCTTAGCGTTCATCCTACAGAACACTGTGCAGTATCGCCTTTTCGTCGGCTACATCGACCGCAGAGATGCTAGCTTAAAATATCAGGGCATAGCTATCTGGTCAGTCGATGCCAAACTCGAGATATTCATATATATATATTTCTCCTGTAGCAAGTTACCCAGTTGGATACTCCTGATATAGGTGCGCTACTCAGTGGCGAAAGCCGTTCGGCATTGGGCGATTTTAACGCGCATCACGATCTTTGGCATTCTAGTCTGTCAAACTGCCGTAGAAGAATGGAACTGTGGAGCAGATATAGTACAGAGCGAGTGCTGGTATGATAAACAGTATAGCCCGGCGACCTATACTGACACTTGATGCGGACCACTTATCCATACAAATCTCTATTGACCTGCCTCTCAACTTTGCTTCCACGGATCAACGGACATTAATTAACTTGAAAAAAGCTAGGCGCGACAACCTTCGTAGCTCCGATACCCCCTAATAAGTGATTTAAACGCGGAGACTCGTAACATATTGAACAATCACAAGCGGAAAATGTAGGAGAAATATCTATCAACCTCTAGACTACAGTCAAATAGTTGTCTAACCCGATTTGACACAATGACCGAGCGGAGATTTCATTCCGTGATCGCGCCTCGTTAGACCAGAAAAGATGCGCCAACTATTTTAGCCGACTCTTCACATTGTATCCTTCGGCAGCGCGGCGCTTGATTTCTCCAAGGAAGAGGTTCAGGATACTATCGTAAAGGCGAAAGCCTCCAAATCCCTCTGTACCGACGGTATACGCATGCTGATGCTAAAACTACTTGGACCAGCGGGAGCAGACTTCCTCACAAAGGTCTTCAACTTGTCTTTGACCACCCTAATGGTGCCTGAGGTGAGGAAAACAGGCAAGGTTGTCCTGAAACCAGCCATCAAAGAAGAGTCTTATCGGCCAATAACTCTCCACTCCCCAGTAGCGGAAATATTTTATGCCTTGCTGCTCTCGACTTTCACTCACCATCAGCTTCCAGCAGCCATTCCGCAGGGCTTACGTAAAGTGCAAAGTACAACAACAGCCATTGCCATTACCACCCAGATAGTCAATTGCATATACCAGATTCGACCCTGCGCTCGACTGTCAATATTCGAAATTCTCGTTTAAAAGAACATTATTAACATATTTTTACAAAGACGGTAAACTACCAATTGCAGTGGATGCTTCAAATGTTGATTTTGGAGCTGTTTTACAACAAAAGAGTAATAACACATTAGAACCATTAGCATATTTTTCGCGAAAATTAAGTTCTACAGAAATTATTTATTCAACATTCGATAAAGAACTTTTGGCAATTTGTAATTCAATTAAACACTTAAATATTTTCTCGAAGGAAGAGTTATCACTGATTACACTGATCATAAACCACTTACACATGTTCTAAATTCTAAAGCAGGTAAATCTGCTCGTCAAATAAGACGTTTAGAATATATTACACATTTTACTAATGATATTATATACATTTGTGGTGAAGAAATTGAAATTTCCGATACTCTTTCTCGTATCCCTGAAATTAATTTAATTTCAACAAAAGACATAAATTTTCAATAGCTTTATGAAGAACAACAAGAAGACGAAATACTTAAAAATATTATTTCAGATCCCAATGCTAAAAGTATTTTAAAATAAATCAATATACCTATTCTAAATTTCAATATTTGGTGTGAAGTTGGACAAACGCCTTTTAGACCATATGTTCACAATTCAATGATAAAAAATATTTAAAAAAGAATTCATTCTTTATCACATCCAAGCGTTCGAACTACTTAACGTCTCAATCAATCTAAATAGTTTGGCCTAATATGCGTAAAGGAATTAAAAGTTGGACATCATCTTCCATTAACTGTCAAAAAATCTATAGTTATACTATGATTAGAATGATTGAGAGATTTTATAGAACTTTGAAAACTGCAATTACAGCATCAAGTGATTTAGTTCATTAGTCTGAAATTTTACCATGGATTCCTATATGTTTACGAACAGTCACTAAGGAATTAGGTCATGGTTACTGAGGCTTCCGGGTGAACTTATGGTTTCCAATAATAATTATAATAACGAAATCGAAAATACAAATGAAATCCCTTAAGAAATTGTTTTTAACTTGTTCGATCGAGAGTGTATTACTCATAATAAACAAAATAGTTTAATTCCTTACTTGTATATGTATAAAAGTTATTCATTAGTCTAATATTCAACCCCTTTTCGAAGGACCATTTAAAGCTATCTCCAAGCATAATAAAACTTGATATACAATATAGAAATGACATTAAAACAATGTCAGTAGATTTACTTAAATCTGCAAACATTATGTCCACCACTTCTTTACAAAACACAAATAAACTGACAAACGCCAAACAAAAAAAATTAC